GTGGCCGGTGAGATGACGAGGCGAAGGTGAAACCCGCTTCTGCTCCTTCGTCGTGAAAGGCTGCCGCATCGCGGGTAAAGTCGCTGGAAGTGGGTTTTGGTGTCTCCTTCAGTAACCAGCAGCCGGCTGGGAATGCGCCTGAAGCTTCCGCGCTGCACGTTTGCTTTTGGCGAGGCCTGAAAGCCCATAGATGTAGTAATTTGTGTTAATTCTGTCCCAAATATACAATTTTCCTTGCCCTCCTTTCTCCATCAAGATCAGAAGGACTATTTATGCCTCACCGCTAGGTGATCTGTACCCTGGAGCATGTTTATCTCCTCCCTCTCCCCTAGACTTTGATGTTAATTTTTCTGCTTTCCTGTTGGCAAATCTCTCTGAGAAATGAATTTTAGTGTTTGTAGGTAGGTGTTTGTGCTGTGGTTTTTAAGGCTTAATGGCAGTATTTTTACAGGTCTGACAACCATTTAGCCTGCAAAGCAGTAACCGTAAAAGGCAGTAAACCGATCTAACTCGAAGAACACTTTAGTTTCAGGATTGATTTATGATGCAGTTACTTGTTTCCTGTCACTAATGTTTTGTGTCTCGGCAGGGAGCAGCTTTTAGAGATGGGAATCAGAATGTTGAGAATTATGAGGAAATTTTTGGTGAATGCGTTGTGCAGTAAGGTAAGCTCTTTCCAAAATTTTTGTACTTCCTCTGTCAGCAAAAGAAATACTTGGGTTACTCCAAATAAGCATTTTGTTTGGTTGGTTTTCATTTAAAAATAGGTATGCAAACAGAACACCTAGTTTTGTGTTGAAATTGGACTTCACATAAGTCACAACATGGAAGTTGAATTTGTAAATTTTTTTAGATATCAGTGATTTTGATTACTTAACACTTGTCGTTGTTAAATTTTTGTTACTTACACAAATAATTAGACATATTTAGAATATTATAGCTACAGTCAACATGTTTTGATCTTATCAGAGATTTTTACCAGAACTCCCATGTAATATTAGGATTGGACTTGGTTTACACCTCAGTGCTACCATCTTCATGCCTCTGCTTGCAAACAGCTGGTATTTTGAGCTTATATAAATAAGAAGTTCCTCTAAGTGTTTGGGGTTTTTTTAGTTTAGCTTTCTGCAGTTGACAAAAACGTAGCTGCAAAGTAATTATTTATAATGATAAATATTCTGTATGTTGTGTGTTTTTTTTTTTTTCTTGTAAGCATGTATATTTCAGGAACACAAAAATGAGAGTCATAAGTTTGACGGAGCAAAACTGCAGTCGAAGGAGCTACAGTTCTCTACCAGGTATAAGTTCAAGTTGTTTGGGTTTTTTTTCTTCTTAATAGTAAGGATGACTCTACAAATGAGCAAGAATACCTCGTAAATTGTGTTTTATTGTGTTCTTTTGGTCAATGTTTGTAGAATTTGGTCTATAATGCACAGACAAACCTGTTTAAAGGTTCAGGAACAGAAAAAAAGTGGTTTGTATTGCAGGCTTTTCTCAGCAGACATATGGTATAAAGCCTTTAGAAAATAAGAAAAGATACAGATCTGAAATAAATGAGTTCACTTGTGAACCGTTGTGGAACCCTTGTCCAGTTGCCTGAAGTGTTAATGGGTTATCATGTAACTGGTCATAACCAGCATGTTGGATAAGAGGAAGAGGATGGGAATCTGATGAAATAGGAGTTTTAAGTTATCATTATTGTGTTTTCCTTGCATACTCAGGAGAAAAGAGAGTAAAAAGAGAAAGATAGCTGGAAAACAAAATTTCAATTAAAATTAATTTTTGCTGGTTTTCGAGTAGCTGTGCTGAGATTTAGTGGGAATTTATTGGTGTAAGATAGGAATCAGGGACACTATTTTTTGTCCTTTTTCCTGCACTGAGACAGAGATAGGAAGACAAATATTGGCAACTAGTGAGTAGCCAACTTCTTTTAAAATTAAAAAAAAGCATTAATGGATTCAGCACTGTGTATCGTAGCAGAGGTCAACCTGCAGCCATGTACCTGACAAGAAGTCTTACTCTAAGCTGCTAATATAAACAGAATCTCTTGTTGCTACATATTACTGTTTCTGCATAGTTGTCTATGAAACTATGTTCTTGCTGTATGCCGTCTTTATCTCCAGTTCTGCTGTGCCAAATGCCTCGGTGTGTCGCGTGGAGGCAGAAATTTATTCCATACAGAAGCAGGTATCATGACTTTGACAAGCAAGAAACATCAAACATACTGATGTGTTACTTTGTGTGTTATCTCACAAAGGAGAGGGAAGATGGCAGTGTTAGTTGGAGTTTTTATTTTGAGGGTGGTGGTGAATTTCCAGCCTGCTACCTTGCTTCTCCAAAGACCAGTCTTTCTCCTTCTTGAGATGTTTGCTAATAAGGTGCCTCTTTACTGTCCTGCTGGTAAGAGGCATGATCTATAGGTGTCAAAGGAATGTCAGTTTAAGTTGTTAAATGTTAGTGTAGGTTTAAGTTAAGTTTAATTGTTAGATTCTGTTTGACCTATCAAGGATAAGCTAAAGTACTAGGAAAGTGAGTTTCTGAAACTCAAGTGGCTTGAGTAACTGATTATTTCATAAAAATTTAGCTTGGCAGTTTATTTTCCAACTAAATAGGGTGTGAGAGAGGAAATACTTTTCAAGAAAACCCATAGTTGAAACTCCTCAGTCCCATGTTTTCTTAACGTAGGTCACTTTTCATTTTCTGCCTGAGAATTGTGCTGTGTACCTTCAGTGTTTAAAGGAGAAATGACTTTTGAAGTTTGTTATGTAATAGCCACTTCAGATGAATGTCAGCATTACAGTTGTCTTGAACTGTGGCATGTTGCGTTATTGCTTCTGCAGAATAAGATTTTACTGTTTCCAAATTTTGGGTGTTTTAAAGAGTTTCTCTTCTTTTTAAGAAAGAGAGATGTTTACTGAAAATTAAGAACAAATTTGAGGTGGTACAAGTTATGGGTTGTCATGAGCTGTGTCTGCAAATATTTTTAGTAAGGTTTTTTTTAGGAATTTTCATAAACATATTTAATTTTGATAAAACCTATCATTTCAACATTGGGATCAATCTTACAGATTGTTGTGCTGTTTTGTTTTGTTTGTCTCCAGGAGATGTTAAGTCTCTGCGCTCTGTCATTAATCCTCATATATCCAGGTATGTCGTGCTAGCTTATTTTTTGGATGCAACTGCAAGTGAGAGCAGTTGGTGTGATAAAAAGTCATGGGTTGTTGCGATGCCCGTCACATGCATAGTTCATGTAAGTGTTCTGAATTAAAGTTAGCTCTTCCTGACTGTTAACTTTCTGATATTTCAATATAGAAACAGATTGTTGGTGTCAGGGTGGTCTTGGACTGTCTCTTGTTTACACCATCAGAACCAAAACTGGGTTCTTACACATTGAATTGTTTCAAGCAGTAGGGGTTAGGGATTGGGACAGACAGGAGGGTGGAGGGGCTGCTCCTGTCTGTGGGGAGGGCAGGTGGGAGAGGATGAGGCCAAGAAGTGGTCTTGCTCTAAAGCGAAGCGTGGAAACTTGTTCCAAAACTCTTGGGCACTACTGATCTGAAGAAAGTCCACCATTCCAGTACTAGCTTACTGCAGTATCAGAGTGTACAATGTATCAGATATGCAGGGGAGGAAAAAATGTTACTCGTCTGGTATGCTATTCTTGGTGAATGTTAATTGTTTATACAAATCACAGTATCACTGACTAAAATAATTACTGCAGTAAAAGCGATGTTTTTGCTTTATGCAGAATCCGAAACATTGGCATTATGGCCCACATTGATGCAGGGAAAACTACGACAACTGAGAGGATGCTCTATTATTCTGGATACATAAGAACACTTGGAGGTTAGAAATACTTTTTGTGTTTCAGTAGGTTTGAGAATAATAGTATTCAACAACGTGCGGTGCGGCTAGAGGTCGCTGTTGGAACACTTAGCATAGAAACCAGTTATTCCAAAGTTGTGCTGCAATATCATGAGACTTCAATGCAATTCCATTATGTCCTAAAGCAATTGTACTTTGACAGGTCATAGGTTCCTTATTTTTCTTTTAGTGCATTGATTTGTTTAACATTTAATTACAGGTTCACCTTGTTTTACTTTGTTTGTCTTTTTACCTGTAAAGAAACCAGATGAACAAAGAACATTTCTTTTGAAAGCCAAAGCACAGGAAGAATTCCTTGCTTCAACAACTTTCACAGGATTCTTCAAGATGGAAAGGGTTACAGCAGCCTCTATTTGTGCTGCCTTTTAAATTGGTAGTTTCTGGTTCTGTAGCGTGTATGAGAACGGTAGGAGATGTCAGGCTTGTGAAGCAGTTGAGCTTGATGGCCTGCTTGTTTGTCTTTGACTTACGGAACATTTGTACCTTGGAGAAGGATTATGGGTAAATTAACTGATACTACCATTTTCTGAGGAAGGCTAGTGTTCATAGCTTATACATGTATAAAAGGGGCAGTATTTCCAAATACTGCTTGGCATCTGTATTCAAGACAATTTCAGCTTTTGAATTATTTACCTGTCTTACTGTAATCCTGCTTCCTGTTCACAGATGTTGATGATGGGGACACGGTGACGGATTTTATGGTGCAGGAGCGGGAACGTGGTATTACCATTCAGTCTGCTGCTGTCACGTTTGACTGGAAGGACTACAGAATCAATCTGATTGACACCCCAGGTACTTTGTTTTAGTAGTACTCACATTATTAGGGGAGAGTAAACAAGGTGGGGTGTCCTGGAGTGTAAGTCTTGGTTTAATTACAGTGCCATGTTTAATTGCAGCAGTAAAAGGCTTGTACACTGGTGTTCACCATTGGCTAGTTATTGTTTACTGGTGCCTAATCTAGCTTGTTTGAAGTGAACTCACACATTTCAGCACTAAATTACTCTCAGTTCTGTAATGTAACAGTCTTGTGTGTTTCAAGGACTCATGGGTATATTTCTCTGCAAGTGAAGACAGGGTTGTTTTGACATGATTTTTTAAAAAAAAATTAAAAAAATTGATCTGTTTACATTGCCTATTTGAGTTAGGATTGCATAAAAGGAAGATTGTATTTTAGGTCATGTGGACTTTACCGTGGAAGTTGAGCGTTGCTTGAGAGTCCTGGATGGAGCAGTAGCGGTGTTTGATGCTTCAGCTGGTGTTGAGGTAAAAATAACTGGTAGATTTTCTAGTTCCTTTTTTCCTAATGACTTAAATCAGACTATTAACATGCCTTTTAGGGCATAGTCCAGAAAATGTGGAACCAGGCTGGAATTTGACTTTATAGCATGAGGTGTTTGAGTAGTTCAGTCATGTAGAAAAGTTACGTGTTTTGAAATCACTATGTTCTGTGGGACATGCCTTTTTCCTAGGAGAGGGATGAGAGAACTCTTGATCAATGTGAGTCACATTATTTAACTTGCTATTGGAAAGCTGAACTGAGTAACCTGAACTAAGCAACAGCTCCCACCCCAAACAACAAAAGAATTAAGTCTGCTTATGTGGTGTTTTTTTTCCTAAAACTGTGTAGAAAATTCTTGCATTATTTCCATGTATTGTTAAGAAACTATTTCAAACTCTGAATTGGTTTTCACATATACCTATTTTAACTTCTAAATAAAATTGTGTGCCATAAACGGCTCAGCAGTACACAATTACTAGGAAAACCACACTGGTTTTTGATGTTGTATGTGTACACACAGAAGTGTTTGCCTGTGCGTGCTTAAGTAACTTGGCAATAAAATCGGAAGTCTCTTTATTACTGGTTGTTTTTTTCAACTCCATCTCCTGTAATAATTGGCTTCTCTCCCTGTTCCCTTGCCTGTATGCCTGTTGCCCTTAGTGAAGGATGGTGAATGATGGCAGCACAGAGAAGAGATGAGGCGGAGCTGCTTGTGGAGGTCACCTTTGCTACTGGACACTGGATTGTCACAACACACTCGGCACAGTTTCCGTCCGTGCTCTGAGCTGGGTCCCTCAGCGGTATTGCGGAGTGTATAGTTCAGCTGTCAGCACTAATGTTTCTGTTTCGTCTTTTGCTTTAGGCCCAAACTCTGACAGTGTGGAGACAAGCAGACAAGCATCAGATACCACGAATTTGCTTTTTGAACAAGATGGACAAAATCAAGGCAAGGTACTTAGTTATTTTAATCAGTACTGTAAACCTTGTAAGAAAACGTATCTAATGAAGTTTAAGTTTTTCTGTTAAGCATAGAGCAAGACAATTATGTTAATGCTTTCTGTATATATCCTTTATTATGGACATGTGTATTTTTGTGTAATTGTAGGAGTAATAATTGCAATAAATAAGGAATGGTAAACCTATTCTACTGTGTCATTAATTTTCGTGTAACTTACTATCTGTTGTTTTAATATAGTTTTACATATGCGGTTGAGAGTATCCAACAAAAGTTGAAGACAAAACCTTTGCTTTTACAGGCAAGTTTAGAAATTAAATGTTTGCTTGATTTCTTTCAAATGGAACTCCCATGTTAATTTTTTGCAACTGCCTAAAATCTCCACTCTGCTTGCAGTTGCCCATTGGGGAAGCCAAGACCTTCAGAGGATTGGTTGATGTTGTGACTAAGGAGCAAATAATTTGGAAACCTACTTCTGGTTTGGATGATGGAAAAAATTTTGAGCAAAAGCCGCTGCTGGAGGCTGATGATCCCAGCCTGTTCCAAGAAGTCCAGGATGCCAGAAATACCTTAATAGAACAAGTAAAGTTCTAAAGTAAATACATAATATATTTGAAACTGCTACTTTCAACAGTAGGAAAAATAGGCCAGAAGGAACTTCTGGAGGTGCCTGGTGCGGTGACCCACTCAAAGCAGGATTAACTTCAGCGTTAGATCAGGTTGCTGGGGCCTTGTTGAGTTTTCAAATCTCTTAAGGATGGAGATTACAATCTGTTCGGGAGTCTGTACCAGTGCTTGATCGTGCTCATACTGAAATGTTTCTGTTTGTCTGATGGGATTTGACCATCTTGCAGCCTGTGGCAGTGTCCACTGAACTTCCTACAGTTGGATGGTCTCTTTTGTGATGGGGAACCCCAAAGCAGGCAGTGTTTTAGATGCAGCTTCACAAGGGCAGGGCAGATGGTACTACCCACTTGCCCTGATCCCTGGCTGTGCCTCTGATGATTCAGCCCGGTTCGCAGTTAACCTTTGTCACTGGAAGGGGACACTGCTGGCTTCTGCTCACTTGTCCAGTGGGTTGACTTGTGCAGAGCTGCTCCTAGCTAGTTGATCCCCTCTCTGTGTCAGCACATGGATTTACTCAGTCCCTGCTGCAAGGTTCTGCATTGGTCCTTACTGAACTAACTTCACTTTTTCTTCACTTCTTCTTCACTTCCTTTCCATCTGTGAAAGGCACCTAATGCATGTTGGGAATGCTAACATAGGGTGGCCGAACATGCTGAATGTAGAGAGTTGGACTCTGTGGCTATATGTTAGGTGTATAAAATGGAAAATATTCCCTGCTTTTATAAATAGGGAGCTGATAAAAGCAGACCCCAAGTTTAACATTCAGTTGACTCTTAATGGTGTTTGTATTGTCTTAGTTGGCAAAAGGTACTTGGGACACTCACACAAGGCCTGGCAGATGTGACTCGGAACCTGTGGGGCATCCATGACCTTCTGGAGTGGCAGGCAGAAGGTAGACGGGATGTTGCAGGCTGATCAAAATGGCACTAAGTACAGTGTTAGAGGCAGCTGAATGCCAGCATAAAGCCTGTTCCAGATCCATCCAGGAGGTGCCTGGGAAAGATAAGGACAGTATAAATATGTCTTTAACATGGATTGACGTACTGTGAAGCTAAGGAAGATGGTAGGAACTTCATCTACTTGATACCAGGTTTTGCCCAGTAGTCAGTTTAGAAGGAGTGGAGAATGGAAGAATTAGTGGAAGTAAAAGAATAATTCGGCTGTTCAGCGGTGCAGAACATTTGAAATAGTTTGTCCAGTGTTTTTCTTCTCCCCTCAACTGGCATTTTAATGTCCTACATTATTTTGTGAAATTTATGTAGTGGTATTGGAAGAGTGGGTTGTACTTAAGAGACTGTAAACAAGTCTTTTCTCCAAGTAAAAAGTTTTGGTGTTTGTTTTTTTTTTTTTAATTGCATTTGATTTACTTATTTATAGCTTTAAAGTGTAGTAGTGATTGCGTTTGCGTGCATAGTTCTATAAGCAAGAATGCAGGAGTTTAACAACTGTATTTGTCTCAGATATTGATTGATTTTGATGGAAAGGGCTGCCCTCGATAGAACTTTGAATAAGCCCGTGCAGATGCATAAAGAGGTGGTGCTAGGTTTTCAGTTTCATTTGAAACATAAGGATCAGAGACATCCATTTTATATTGCTCCGAGTTCAGTAAAGCACATGCACACAATCTGGTTTTCAAAATTTCCAGGTTTTAAATGGGGGTGTTATTACTCAGCCTCTTATCTTAAGAAATACATTGTCAAATATAAAGCTTTTAAGAATAGTGTTGAGTTTTTTGGTTTGATTTTTATTCCTTTGGTTTCTAGGCCCTTCCTGAAGCAGGAAGCAGTGGACCAGTAGTATCATATTTGAGATAACCTTGTATTTATAAAATATTTTTTTATATGTTTACCACATTACTAACACTCTTTATCGGAAGTCCTGTAAAATATAGTAGTTTGAATAGCAGCTGGCTTGCACACTTTACTTTCACTTAATTAAATGAAAATTTCCTTTATCTCTCATGTTTTGACTGTTAGCTAGATTAGGCTTCCAGTTGCTTATCAGTGATTCATTTTGGTGTTTGGTCAATTGCTCTCTCAGCCACTAGAGGGGAGAAAGTGCTTTCCTGCACCTTGGATGTCCTGAGTGATGGTGCGAGGGTGTTTTAAGAGTAGCTGGTGTATTTGTCAAGCTGAGTGGTACAGTTTGAAAACACAGATGAGCCTCTTGGGCCTACAAGGCTTTGGCCACGAATAAGGTCAAAATGCCCTGAAGGCTTGTCTGTTTTCTTCCAGCTCTGTGTCTGTAGCCTTACAAAGGTTAGTGGCTACTTTCTTAAGACTTCGCCTTGTTTGCAGATCTGAAATACACTCCATTGCACCCCTAATGGCTGTCACTGTAAGGCAGCATTTTCAGTTTCAGGCGTTCTCTCTCCTGCTGTTTTTTTGACGGACAGCACTATAAATTGATTTGTTTATTTTTTCCCTATCCTTTCTTGAAATCTTGATTTCTGTATTTTTTTGTGGTTTGAATTTATGATCTCTGATGTCTTTAAAGGCTTTGTTCCTGCTCTGTTTAGTTATATATACTACATACGTAAGATTTATGACTTGTCTGTGAAACTGCTATATGCCAAATAATAAAGAACTGTTCTGTTGAAGGTTGCTGATCTGGATGATGAATTTGCTGAACTGGTTCTAGGAAAATACAGTGAAAATTTTGACTTAATACCACCTGACAAGGTAAATTTTACATTTCATTATTTATAAACAAGTTTTTAGTAGCTGTTACACTGAAGGGCTGTTTTTTTTTTTCCCTTTGGCACATGTAGATTATGATTTTGCAGATATGCATTTTTTAATCAACAAAAAAAATTCACATTGACTTTTGTAGTGAACTTACAGTACTGTGTATTTAGGACAAAGTATATTGAAGCTTAATATGAATTTTATATGTTAATGCACTAACTATGATTCTCTAACATGCCAGGCACAATTTTGAAAGGTAGAGTCTATTTGTTCAGGAAGGTTTTTAGGTTTTTTGAGAGTTAGGCTGCTGCGGAAGAATTTAGGGAAGGGTGAACAAGACTTCCAGACAGAGTCAGTGCAGTTTGTGCCCGAGCTACTGATTCTTAACTAACAAAAGTAGAATCTCAACCACTATGAATTCATTGGATCTTCATACACTCGATTTTGAAAGTGGTGAGGTACAACATTCTAAATTAAAAGGACTGTTAGTCCTTAATATGCTTCACATATTAAGAGAAAATAATTGCTTTTTGCAGTTACGCTCTGCTATCCGCAGAATCACGCTAGCTCAGAAAGCAGTACCTGTGCTGTGTGGCAGCGCACTGAGGAACAAGGGAGTGCAGCCGTTACTGGATGCTATTACCATGTACTTGCCTGCACCCAATGAGCGTTCATATGAGTTTCTGTAAGTACAGGGGGGAAAGGAGGGCCAGGAAAAAGGGCGGGGGGGGAAGTAGGAAAGCATAAAAGGAGAAAATGAAAAGTATTAGTGAAGGATATGTCTCTTTAAAAATGTTTACTGCCAGTTTTAGGTATTAAGTAACAGTAAAGATGTGCAGACATACAAATGCACTTGGGTACTGAACCTCCTTTGGTCAGTGGCACTGGAATGCATTTATCTCCAGATGTCAAACTTGCACTTTAAAGTTCTAAATCCTGTTTTTAATCTTAGGGTATTACCATTTTACGAAATTGTGGTCTAGAGACCATCTTTTATATTGGCCGAGACACATGATATCTTATATATCCTACTGGAATTACCAGTTATTATGATTTTAAAAAATCTACCTCTATTAATATTACAGGAGGAAACATGTTGTTACTTAAATGAGTAAAAATTTAGATCAAAGTGAGTTTGCAGTAAATATGCCTTTTGTTGTGCTTTTTGTTTTGCAGACAATGGTACAAGGATGACCTGTGTGCCCTAGCATTTAAAGTTCTCCATGATAAATGTCGTGGACCCCTAGTGTTCGTTCGTGTTTACTCAGGTTCACTGAAACCTCAGTCAGCTGTATATAATATTAACAAAAGTTGCACGTGAGTAAGATAGAGGAGTGGTTTAGTGTAGCATCGGCATGTCTGAAAAGCTCTGAGTAACATGAGAATTTCATTTTCAGGGAGAGAATGAGCCGGTTACTCCTGCCTTTTGCAGATCAGCAAATTGAAATACCATCGCTGATGCCTGGCAACATTGCCCTTACTGTTGGGTTAAAGCAGGTGCAGGAAAATACTCATTCTATGAGGGGGCTTGCTTCACTAATGTACTTTCTATTTCTATGGTATTGTATCTCAGACCTGTTCCTGATTATGGTGATATATGTAAACTTCCTTTATTTGAAGTACATGTACTTCCTCCTAAAATGAAATATGACAAAGTACAAATGCCAGTAATTACCCTGGCAGATGCAGTGCTGTTGACGTGGAGAGAACTGAAAACTGGAGGTGTATTTTAGTAGGGTTCTGAGCTTGATTTACATTGTTACTCTTAAAGTACAATGTAATGTAATGGAGAGACCTCCTGTGGGGAAGAAGAGTGATGTTGCAAATAACTTACCCAAAAGCAACAGTTTAAGTTTCTTTCATGCTTGACTCTAGTAGTTTACTAATTCAATATTTTATTGATGGAACAGGCTTCATAGGCCCCATTTGCACAGATTTTCTAAAATGTAACCAATTTTGGCATGCATAAGCAAATACTCATTTATCAATACTGTTATTTGTGGGTTTATATCTTGACTGATAAGATTTAAAATGCAGTGAACTGGACAAAGAAGTGCTTGCTTAAATTTGAGCACAGTTTTTCCTCTTCCAGATTTGAGTTATTTGGAGAGAGGAGTTAAAGTAATTGTTTATAAATAAGCAAGTAAGTGGAGTTTAGCATAAGTGGGTTTGAAGAAGAGAAATGGTCAGGGCTGTCGATGTGGGGTTTTACTTATTTTATTTTCGTGGGGTTTTTTTTCATATTCTTTTTTCCTTCTCCTGTGTCTTATGGGTCACTGCGTGTTGATCTGTAGAGTGCCACTGGAGATACCATTGTGTCATCAAAGGCTTCAGCAGTAGCTGCAGCACGCCGAGCTGGAAGGGATGCTGGGGGAGAGAAGTCTGCCAGTGATGTAGAGAGCCTCCTGCTGGCAGGCGTTGAGATCCCTGACCCTGTCTTCTTCTGTACAATTGAACCTCCTTCGATGGCCAAACAACCAGGTACAACACAGCTACTTACAGGAAAGTAAGATACGCACAAATGAAAGATTCACATGTAACTAGGTTCTCCTGTCTAAGGACGGTGCTTGTCCCCAGTCCGTGCACACCTGGTTGACTGGAGTGAGTTGCACAAATTTAGCCGTCAGTGATCTAATAAGGCCTTTTTTGATCTTTTGTACAAATTACATATTTTACATTGTGATTGTCAGTCTCCTTTGCTATTACTGCATCAAGCATACCAGTAATGTAGTTTTTATGTCTAGAAAGTAGTAGTTCTTAATTATGAAAGAAGAGGCGGAGGCATTTTCATTTCTTTCTGCCATGCTTAGTTTTGCTCCAGTCACACTGGTGTGCAGTACGTAGTGTCCTGAGCACAAATAACTTAGAATCATGGGGTTGTTTTTCCAGTCAGCTTTTGAAGTTTTACTTTACGGTGTGAACTCCTCACCAAGTGTGTGTCTAGTTAGTTTTCACCCCTGCACTGTAAACTGCCTTTCCCAAGAATCTGTACTGCGCGACTTGGTTATTTTCCTTTTTTGGGGAATACATTCTTTAAAGTCTCTGTCCTCATTTCAACAAAGCTGAGCTTAGTTGGGGGTGAAGAGGAGAATAAGTACCAGTGTAGTATGATGGAATGGCAGAATGCAGATTTGAAGCAATGTGTCTGCAGGCTGAGCCACTGGGTTGTAACTTGTTTCTGGTTTTGGGAGGTTGGACCTTTTGGATTGTGGGGGTTTTTTTGTGGGGGGTGTTTGTTTATGAGTTGTTTGGGTTTCGTTCTTGGGTTGTTTTTTTTTTCCAAAGACTATATAAGGTAGATGAATGCAGTCTCAGCTCTTGAGTTTATCATTCTGTAGCTGCTTTCCTCAGCAGTTACACTAATGGCGAATCAGAAAAGTATAATTTGCATTTGAACCTTTTCATGTTGAACTCATCTTGAAATATTTAGGCAAATAGTTAGTGGACTATTCTTATCTACAAAAAGGGAGCAGTCATTTTACTGACTTGATGAAGCATTTACAGGTTCCATTCTGTCTTTATACAAGTACAAAATATCACTCTGAAAATTATATCTTTAATAATTAAATAAGCACTCTGTAGTGTGCAGTTAATTTGTGGCAGAGAATCAGAAGTTATAAGTTGCTTGTAATTTGATTTGACTTTGTCAAAATCTATGCTTCTCTTGGGTCCTTTCTGATTCCTTTTGAGGATTTGTTTTGACCTTATGAGGAAAGTGATGCTTAGATATTCATTGTCATCCTCAAATTACTGAAGTCTCTCTTCAATGTTTGATATTTATGTCCAGACTTGGATAACGCATTGAGCTGCCTTCAGCGTGAAGATCCAAGTTTAAAAGTGAAGCTAGATCCTGACACAGGACAAGTAAGATGAATCTTCTATTGTTCACCTTATAACAAAGGTTTATTTTAGAACTGTCAAGACCACCCTTCAGTTAGTTTATTCATGTACTGGGATTTTCTTGAATAAAAAGGACTCTGTAGGTGTTTTTGTTGTGTATGTACAAAATTCTGTGCATCAAAATAAAATGGAGCCTTGCATACTTGTGCTTTACAGAGTAGAGGAAGTCACCCTGTGCTCTGCATGTATTGACAGTTCTATTTTAAAAAGTTTTAATTTGTTTAAGGTAATGGAAGGATGACTTTTTTTAGTGGTCACAGTAGTGGTAATAACTCTCACTTATAGGGCGTTCATGTCATATGACCAAAAGCACTTCTGTTTTCTCTCTAGGCTCTTAAGAATTCGAAATATTTCCAGGAGACTATTAAGAGCATGCAAGTCCTTGCTTAAACAGTTTGTATTAAAATGGAGTTTTGCCTGGTTTTCCTTTTCTCTCTTAACTCTTTTCTCGCTAGACCATTCTTTGTGGCATGGGAGAACTACACATAGAGATCATTCATGACCGAATCAAACGTGAATATGGAATTGAGACTTACTTGGGACCTCTTCAGATAGCATACAGAGAAACCGTCCTAAATGCTGCCCAAGCTACAGGTAAAATGAGTGAATGGAAGGGACATCTTGTTTCTGGTTTTGTAGCTTGATTTACTGTCAATAATCTTATGAGTAACTTGCAGATGAATTGTACATACTAGTTGTCTTTTTTTCAAATGGTTGTTTTGTTTTGTTGGGTTTTTTTCCCTGCAGATGTATTGGACAAAACAGTAGGAGATAAACGACACTTTGTAACCACAGAGTTGGAGGTGAGGCCCAGGTTAGGGGAGAGAGCAACAACAAAACCTGTCATTGAGTATGCCGAGCGTGTCATTGAGGTGCTGCCCAAAGAACTCCAAGGTGCCATAGAAAATGGAATTGCGAATTCATGTGTTCAAGGTAAACTAAGTGCTTTGACAGCTAGACTGGCCTAACATATCTGTAAGAAGCAATTTAGTATGTTTCTAGGAGTAAAAATTTCTTGTTAGGTTGAAAACTAAAAGACAGTACATACTAACATTAGATGCAAGGGAAAATTCTGAAATTTCCGTAACTACAAAAGTTGCAAAACACTCTTTTCCTTATACCAGCAATTGAAGTCAGCATACCTTTGGGTTTTATGATTGATTTCTTCTCAGTCACTCACTGAGCTTGGGGTTCTTTTGTTTGCTATTTAATATGATGTAAGATAAGGCATTTACTTAATATCACTATGTAAATCACAGTGATGTGACAGAAATAGTTTTGGAGGCCAACATGTACCTATCACACTTCTATTAGAGATACGGATGTTTGATGTTTTTTTTATTTTCAAATTTGTTAAATCCATTTATGTAAACAATAAAAAATTTTAGCTAATTGCCAAGCATGCTTTATATTTTATTAAAAATAGTATGTATTTAATAACTTGTGGTGGAAGAGCTCTCCCTTACAGTAAAATTAACATGCAGTGGATTGATAAATGAAAATTACTCTGAAGATAGCAGCATGGGGTGTTTTTTACTATGTTGCTTTGTTAAGTTGGAAACGGTCTCTTATCTCTGGCTGTGGAATGAGTCCTGATGGTGTGCTTTCTTTGTGCTCCTTGAAGGTGCTTCAGAACTGTGCTCTCTGCAGCCTGTAATTCATGCCATTAAGTGCTTTAAAAATAAGTAGATAGATCTGGCCATGTTGTCTATAGGAAAAAAGCTTTGTGTATTTTCTTAGATGTGGTTCAGGCCTCCCATACAGTCTAAGACAGGTTTTAGTCTGGTTGAGAGTCCTGGGTTGGAGAGAGAGAACCTACGTCAGACACTAAATGTGGTTCATCCCTCATGGAATTGAGTTAACCTTGCAGTTTTGGTAGTGGGTTAGCATCAGGCTTTACTGTGATCACATTGTGTTGAAAAGGAAAATACAGAAAATATTATGTCTTCACTAGAAGAAGCAAAAAGCTCTCACTGCTTTTTTCAAAAAAAAAAATAACTTGTGTTAAAAAATAACTTTGTTTTTGGGAATGGTTGTATGAATGACCGACTAAGAACTTCTGGTTGTGAAAATTATCTGTGCATTTGGTAAATGACAGTAAGAAAGTATGAGTCTGCATTTCTTTGTTTATTGTGGCAAAGCTAGGTAATGACAAAACCACAAAATGAGGAACAAGACCAATAGTCATTCCCTTAGGGAGAAGGACAGGGCAAAGAGGAGAGTGAGCAGCTCTGAATTAAAACTTCTTTTTTGCATGCATCTTAGTATTTTAATAAACAAATGTGCTTCTTTCGTTTTCTCTTTTTTCTTTTGTTTTGTTTTTTCTGTCCCTAGGACCCTTGCTTGGATTCCCAGTTCAGGATGTAGATGTGACAGTGCAATCACTGACGGTGTATCCTGACACCTCCCACACGATGGTATCAGCCTGTGTCTCCCGTTGCATGCAAAAGGTGCAGTGAAACTGTGAGCTGCCCTAGAACACAGAAGCATGATGTACTGCTGGGAAGATCTGTGTCTATCATTATCTGTAATTCTCCTCTGATAGCATAATGACCTTGCTGGGGACTTTATAGCTTATAGCTTTTGGAAGCAGAGAATTTAGAGGCAGCATTAGCTTGAGTCATAAAAGGACTTACTATGTCGGCTTTCTTTAAAAAAAAAAAGTTTAAAAAGGAGTCAGCTGTCCCTCTCTTCCATTTAGGCTTTGAAAAAAGCTGGTATACAAATACTGGAGCCCCTGATGAACCTAGAAATAACAGTAAGTGAAGATCATCTCAGTGCAGCACTTGCTGACCTTGCACAGCGGAGAGGTAGTATTAAGGAAATCCAGAGTCGTCAAGATAACAGAGTTGTGGTTGCTGCTGTTCCATTAGCAGAAACAAGGGTACGTGATTATATTATTAAAACAATAATGTGGTATATTTTTACATGTTTAAAAATAATTAGGCTTCAGTTCACTTCTTCTACTACCACAGATATGTAAGTTTGGAGTGGATGTTTTTAACTGCATTTTACTTATTGAAGGTCTGAAGCAAATGCACACAAATCTAGTGCCCAATTCAGATTGTTAAACCAGCATGTTTTGAACTGCAAATCAGAGAAATAGTAAATACTACTATAACAGGTTTTACAGAAAATATGTTTAATTAGGTTGACTCATACATGTATTGTGGTTTTAGTACAGTAATACTAAAAAACTAACTTAATAGTATTTTGCAATGTAATTCTGACTCTCTCTCTGTGACCTAAGTTTTCTGTGTAGGTTATCTTCCCTTTATAGGACATTGAGTGACGTTTGTTCTCTGTTCCGTCCAGGGCTACTCAACAGTTTTGCGTTCCCTGACGTCAGGCTCAGCAACCTTTACCTTGGAGCTTGCCAGTTACCAAGCCCTGAACAGTCAAGAGCAAAGTGTGCTTCTTCAGAGAAGGATGGGGTTGGTCTGATGGCTTTACTCTGTAGAACAATAAAAATATTTTCTATTCTCTCTGTTAAGTATTTTCAGAGGCCTGTTTATGTACACCAGTACATTCTTCTGGGACCACCTGGTTGTGGTAAATGACGGATCAGCAGCTGTATGAGCAGGCTGTGCTTTTAACAGTCTAAGTGAAGGTTCAAGAGACTCTGTTCTTCTGGCACAGCCCTGTAATTGCAAAGCAGCTGAACGAGAGATGCAACCACAATTTGCTGCTTTGCAAACTCTTATCTTACGGATATCTGCAATGAGAAGTGATGCAAATCCTATTCATAGAAATGAGCACCATGTGCCATTAGGCACATTAGTCTGTGTCTCTAAATGAAGTAACTACAGTTTTCTTGGTCCGTATCTTGATTTATTTTCACCTGATGAAAGAATATAGTTAATTAGCATTTTAAACTGTACAACAGTAAGTATTACTTCCTGTATTGTTAGAAACCAATCTGAACTGCAGTTCAGGACCAGGTATGACTTCTACTCAAGTTTGCTTTTCAGCAAGTAAGTGGAATGGGTGTTTCTGCAAATTGAGATCTGTGCAAGAACTACAAGGCAGAGTTCTCCTGGGACAGCGACCCCTACCTGCCACCTTGGACTAGGCTGAGGGAGGACTTTTGACCTTCAGGAATGAGTGATTTACACTGTGATGGCTCTGGTTTCCTATGTGTTACAAGTCAGTTCTGATTTGCAGTTATCTGGTTACAGAGCTGAAAAGTAAAAATCACAAAATAGAACTGGTGCTGGACAAACCAGGACAGTGATGAAAACTTTAAAAATGTCACTTTTACTCCAGTAAGAATGTCAAATAACTTTATTTTGAAAGTGAAAAGTTTGTTTTTGTTCAAATATCAAACTGCATGTACATATATTCATACCCCAGAGGCACTTCAGGTTGTTGACTTGAAGTATTTGCAGCAGTTACTGCCCTCTTGCTTCATGGGCACAGTATCCAACAAACACAGGTTCAGCTGCTATGCCACGGCTGTTAAAATAAAGTGGAATGTGTATGGTTATGATCAAACACCTGGCTGGTCCTGAAGGTAGGAAGAGATATAGCGGCACTCTCTTTAATCTTTGTGTAGACAAAGCTACTTAGAACAAAGAACAGATGGCCTATTTAGGGACTGAAAAAGGGTGCCATCTACAGCTGATTGTACTTAGGTACAGTTCTCTGTTTCAATCAAGATGTACCAGGGTATTTAAAAACAGGTTAAAAAGCTTAATTTAAGAGCTAGTTGTCTTGATGTTCTGCAAAATCTATTGCTTTATTAAAGTCATAAGCATGTGAAAATATGAACTGGGTGACATTTGCACACATCTCCCCAAGCCTAAGGTTTCCTTCATACGTAGCTCTGTCATCTTTATTCATGTTTTTAGGGAGCCAGTTTTAGTAAACAGGACTTTGCAGCTACACAAATTATTCTGTTCTCATTTGGCCTTTCAAAAACAAACAAAAAACCACTCCGGCACAACCCTTTAGCTTATGATGGCACAGTTCTTACTCTTACAAAAGTTCTACCTTCCCTCACTTTCCAGTACCCAGCTACAGAGCAAGCCAGAGCTGTTCTACTTGGAAAGTGCCATTTATAAAAACATTTATAAAAATTCGGAAAGTGCCATTTATAAAGACATTAGTAGGGACATAGTCCTTTGACCATGCTCTAAGAGTGTACAACAGCCTCACTCATTAACTCAGCTCTTTTGAGTTCATACCATGCTACCAAAGCCAAATGTACGTGAAAGGCAATATAACTTGCAGCTCTTAGGAAGGCTCATTTCATCAGTGGGGTTCCAAGCCTATATAAAAGGAATAATTTTCAGGAAGACATATCCTTTTATTAAGGTGATCTGTTGATAACAGGAATTGTTCACCAGAATTTTATATGCCAGCAAAGCAGTTTTAGCTGTGCGAAATAGTTTAAGGAAAAAGTGTGCAGCAAGGACCCGGACTACTCCTTAATTCTGCCTCTGCATTTTGCATCTCTCATGCTAGCACTACCAGAGCAGATGCAGTCATCTGGGTCAGCTCCCTCTATAGCCATGCAAGAGGCAGGGTTAAGGAAGAAGGTGGAGATGCAACAGTAGATAACCAGGTCCCAGAACAGCATGGCTTAGTTCACTGTAAAACCCTAATCTTAGAGGTACAGCCACTGTACGCTTCACTATTTAGCTTTATCACTGCTTTCTCTGACCCCTATCAAGAGATGCACCATCCTGTTAAGTGATATTCCAACAGATAATTGTGCTGAGACATCTACAGAAACATAAGCAGAGTGCTTGAATTTTGAGTGCTGACTGTAACTGCCACTGTATCTTGTTTTCTATAAAGCTGATTTGTATCTGTCTTGAAATACTTCTTCACGCTGTTGACACTTTCAATTATTTGTCATAATACTTCTGTAGAGAAATTAAATGGCTTGTTGAATTCTTCAAATTTTGCAACAGCATTTGGGCAAACCAAAAATGCTTTCAGACTCTATACTTTTAAAAGTGGAGTCAAACTTAGACTTAAGACCTAGAAATCACACATTTGTGCAACTGTGAATATACAAAGACAGTACTAACAATAATTAACCAGTAAATTGCCTAAGTAGTTTTTAGGAAAGAACTGTAGCAAAGAGTATGTTACAAACTGACTTTGTTTAAAGTAGCCATAAATAAAATTTAATTCATAAGGGACTCTTATCTACCCCTTTCAGTCTTTACACTAAGGCTCTACTTGAGAGAAGAGCTTGCTCAAGCTCACCACTCATGTAGACAGCTCCACTTGATTACCTGCTGCATGTCTTTAATTATTATTCATAATACATAAATATGAACCTCTTTATTTTTTAACAAGTCTGCTTTTTCTTTTGTCTCTGTACTCCCACATACCCTTTAGTACCTTTTTTTGCCTGAAATAGGTCAATCATGACGTTGGTTTGTCCTTTAGAGGCAAGAGAGACAGACGGTTGCCTGACCTAGTTGAGAGGCGTCCCTGCCCATGACAGGGAGATTGGATTAAAGGATCTCTAAGGTCCCTTCCAGCCTAGGCCATTCTATGAAATGAATTCTAGTGTTTCACTGAAAAAAGTTAATGAGGTCTGAAAAATTTTTAGCTGCAAAACTGTCTAGAACTCCTGTCTTAATCTCTCTGTTCTTCCTCTTCTGCGGATACAAAGACACATGGGAAGACATTTACATAGTCAGATTAGACTGCTAACTCTCCTCCTTTCACTTTCAGGCCAGCAATTCAGGCCTGCACTTGAACTCCATTAGTTATAAAGCATGAGAACCAAGCTTTACTACAGTTACTAATTAATCTTACCGGAGCATGCGACATCGATGATTAGTTAGCCTTTGATAGGCATCCTGCAAGTCGGTCACATTACTGCTGCTCCATAACCTTTCCCCTACAGCACTTGCTCGAGGCCTGTTAACGATAAACTGAGTTTTAGAGTAGGCATAGTCTATAACCAAGAAGGGATTAGTTTTTAAGATCAGTTCTTATCTAGAAGCACCAGTTTTTACAGCTACTCTGGTTCATTACAGAGCACTGTGACCATTAACATACAGTCCTGTTGGATTAATTAATGCTCCTCGTAGCTGGCTTTTTCAAATCTAAAGATAAAGCAATTCGTACCATAATCTCGGTGTGAGGTTAGTGGCATCCACAAATTCCCCCCACAGGCAGGCTTCTCCACCTATTAGAAGCTTTTTCTGTTTTTCAGATCCTAAATTCAAAGTAAAAAGTTAGAATTTATATTTGCCCAGAAGATGGGCATAACTGAATTTCATTTTCCAATATTCAGAGAGGATTGCTGTTCAGTTGCTTATTTTACCATATAACTATCCTAAGCACTAACTTAACATTTTAGTAGCCTTGTTACTGAATATGAGAACCATTAGGCCATTTGCCCAGAGGACCCCTATTCCTTCTCTGTCAGAAAGGATTTTAACTTTTATACTCAGCATTCGGACATTCTTCAGATATTTCGGTCCTGATTGAAACTGTTCATTCTATCACACACAGGACAGTCCTCGAGAAAGCTACAGAAGTCAGGTGTTCTTTGGAATGAGCCCTGAGAGCTACCTTGAACAGAGTGAAATCCCTAGGCAGAGTGTAAGACTTTTGTATCAGCTTTAGCCAGAGAGAGGAAACATGTCCTTTTTCAGAACAGTCTAACACTCTAGAAATTTGCTAACACATGAATTCAATGTCTGTCTACTAACATTTTGTACAACTCTGCCCCAAATGCAAGATGTCCAGCATCCTGTCTCACACAAGCACTACTGCCAGATGCTTGAGGAAGGTAACACTTTAACCTACGATAAAAGAGAATTTTCCAGAGTTCTAGCTGACACTGAAGTCCTTTGATTACAGTGTATCTGATCATAATGGCTGCATGGCCACTCTAAATAGCCCTATTCTTTCCATTACACCTCACTGTGATCCAGACTTTCATGCACAGAACACGCATATTAAAAAAAAAAGTAACAAACCAGGAAAGTGAAGCGGTTCAACAGCGTAGTATTTCTTCCAGTCTTGCCCATAACTAATGTAGTCTAAGTACCAGGGAGCTGCCAGTATAGCAGGGTACCCAGCTCCAGTGACCCTGCTCAGTTCATGAGCATAGTTGTCTGCCATCCATACTTCAACTACAGTGTCTGGTTTCAGCTGAAAGGGTGAAAATCAAAACAAAACATTAAAGACAATCTTAACTGCTGCTACCAGGAAAAAGGATCATGAAGTTCAAAACTGTGAGGGTGGTATTTTGTTTTGAAGACTAACATTTTGAAACTATCTTTTGTCATATTTTTTTCCGCAGTCTAAAGCTGATTAGCTCTTTGCTGGTTTTAAACAGAATTCACACTAGAGTGAAGCCTAGGTTATAGACAGATAAAGCCCTCTAGGGTTCCTTCATGCACCAGTTATCTGACCAGCTCTGAAAAGCTGAGCACCTGGTGTTACTAAAACAGGTGCAGTTACGT